AAAAGAAACAAAATGTATGCAAGGATGTTTTGCTCCTACTCGAATGCAAATTGAAAACTTGCGAAAACAACAACAGAGCTTTGAGTGATGGCCATGTTGCAGCAGCATGTTGCATGTGTCAATGCAAATGTTGATGGCGTCGGTATTAGTATGCGGCATGCAACATGCTGGCATTGCTTGCTGTACACACAATTACTTGGCAAATAATTAAGTACGTGCTCCGACAGCAGCAGCAGCAGCAGCAGCTGAATGTGTAGGCATTTTTTTAGTCTTTTTGTTTGTGTTTGTTGCTTTGTGCTTTAAAGGACATCGGTAAATGTTTGCGCTGCAATTAGATGTGCAGTCGCTGCTAGAACGAGTTACGTAAACACAAACTCAAGTCAGAGCAGCACGTGGAGCGAGTTTGTGTCGCCTGCAGCATTATATACATATTTGGCCAAATTGGAAATCAGTCAATGGCAGAAGCTGTTTGGCCAAAGGATTCCAGCAGTCGAACAGCCAATACAGTCGCATTAACCAGCTGTCCCGCCAGCTGTCCGCCTGACAGCGGCAAGAGCTCGCCCAAATGTGCGTTGTCAACTGTCGTAAATTTGAAAAATGCTCCACAAATAAACAAATCAGGTGCTGCTGGAGCTTTGAGCTGCGCTCGACCATTTTGTTTATAATTTATGACATCAACTGGAAGGGTAGCTAAGCCGGCGGCAGCACGGCACGGCCCGGCGCACTACAGCAGGAGACGGCACAGTACAGCCAAGAAGACATCACCGGCCGTAAAGCACAAAACTGAAATATTGCCCAAGATTTTTATTATTTGCACACATTTCTACTGCTGGCAGTCGACCAAAGTAGCTGTGCTTGTTGCTGTTGTTGTTGTTGTTGTTGTTGACTACTGTGTATTGAGAGCTGGCTGCTCGGCTGGCTGCGTTGGGAGTAAAAGGCAGTAAAAGGCGCACAAATAAAATCCTGCAAATGCTGACTGAGTTTGTGGCTCTGCTGTGGACATATAAACAACAGTAGTGGCAAAACAAGTAGTACAACAACAACAACAACAACAACAACAACAATCACTCCAGCAGGAACAAGAAAAGTGGGTTTCATGTGCTGCTTATTGAGCATAAATCTATAAATATGCCAAGGCAATTGTTCTCCATGCACACGAACGTGGACATGAGAGCTGGCTCATCTCCCATCTGACCCAATTCTCTGTGCCATTCATTACGCTTTGTTCACAGGACATTCTCGAGTTGAGCGCACAAATCACGCACAAATTAGCCGCAATCTAATTGAAATCGCGTATCTGCCAAGAAATCGCTGAGCTACACATCATAATGATCTCCCAACCACACAACATAGTTTTTCCTATCAATTTAATTAGCTCGAGATAACTGTATTAAAACTGCTTAAAATTCATAAGAGCCTCTCAAGCCCGCCTCAGTTTATGCTCTTAATAAATTCATATCTCACATCTTATTTACTGATTACGAATTAAATGCCATGCTAAGTAATCAATATAGAATGCTTAAGGGAGCATTAATTTTATTATCCAACATATGTACACACACACACACACAGATACACACTGATACACAATCGGAGCACTTAACTCGAAGGTCCTTTTGCCTGGCACTTAACTGTCGCATAAATCGCGAGGACTTTGAAAGAGTCACACAGAGTCAAGCGCTGCGCTGTTGTTGTTTGTCGCAAATTAGTTCAGTTGGCTGGGGGCAGCACCACTTGCCGCCACACACACCACTGAAATGCCATCCCAATATTATCTAACATTTAACGCCCACAGACACACATAAACTCCGATTAGAGCGCGAGCCAAGTGGAGGGCGAGAGTCGCGTTGATGTTGGGTTATTTGTCATTAATATGCAAACAGTTAACTACAAGTGCATGATTTAACCATGTGTGTGTACATCTCTATATATATATGTGTGTGTGTGTGTGTGGGTGCATTGTGGATTGTGCATGCAACATAGTTGATTCAGCACTCGCTGGCTTCAATCAATGCCGGAAGCGGAAGTTAATTGTGCGCATGGCTCGTGCCAGGCAGTGACCGTTTAAGCCTTTTACGTAATGCCAACAACAATTAAGTGTGAGCGAACAGAGAGACCCATAAACAGTTTCATTTTATCGAGCATTGTCGTTAGTAAATTACTGTGATAAGGATATTTAGGCAATGCGACTCAATGGCTAGCCAATTGCTAGCCAGGCTTTAAGCTGTAAATACCAAAAATTCAATAATCTGCTAAAGTCCTGGCGTAAATGCGCACAGACGCAGAGGCGTGGCAGGAGGCTGGCAAGCAAGAAAAAAAATGTAATTTGTCGCTAACCAAGTGTGTACTAACCTCATTTTACTAAAAGCATTAAAAATAAAACGTAATCACATGCTTCATAAAAGTAATAACTACACACACACATACACGTGCGCAGAGATAGCTAGAGAAACAGAAAGAGAGAGCGAGAGACAGAGAGGGGGGATGCGAGCTTCCTGCAATTCAGAGCGTGGCTGACTACGTGTCGCTATAAAAGTGCTTCTGAATATGCAAGTATACGATTCCCTGTGTATAAGTGTATATGTGTGCGAGTGTGTTTGTGTGTGAGTAACAGTAAAAGCCTTGACGTCGCGCCGTCAGCCGTCACTGCCATAGACGATGCCATTGTCTATGTCATAGCACGCACAGCGCAACCCCAATTCAGAAAGAATGTGTTAGACAGACAGAGCACAGTGTGTGTGAGAGAGAGGGGGCGATAGCTACATGTATGGCCATTGCATTAGTGTGCGTGCGCGTCTGATTTTTACGAGACGATTATGGCTTGCTCTTTATGATTTGCCATTGAGCCAAAGCGTTGTGGCATGAAAAGAACTACATACATACCATTCATACATTCCAGGAGCCAGTTCGATTGGGCTGCTTGCCTCAGCAGCTTCTCAGCTTTAACTCTCGCATGTCAGCCGCCTGGAAGTGAAGACAACTTTCCAAACAATTGGACGCACCGTAATTAACCAGCTCAATATTTTAGCACCTGCCGATCGAAGTGCAGTTGCAGTTGCAGCTCGTTAGGGGCCAAGCCCCAAAGCCTTGGCCATTCTCCGAATTATCTGTCGCTCTTCGGGCACTGCGGACACTTCTGGGGACAGGGCGCTGTCAGTGGCATCGATGCTGCAGGCAAGCGTTGATAAATGCAGTGTCAGAGAAATGAAATATTGAAGCCAGTAATCCAAAGTTTTTGGCTATGAAATTGGCTTATTAGGAAAATGTCAGAATTTTGAATTCATTCAGCATTCGGTGAAGGCAACTGGCCAAGAGCTTTATCATGTTGCATATGACAGCCCAAGCAGCTGAAGCATAATGAGTGCCCTCGGTGGGGCCAAGCTCGACCCCTAATTACGCAGTTGACAAGTCGAGAAGCCGGGCAGCTAAGTGAAAAGTTTCAAGAAAATTAAGGCGAGCTCTGTGAAAATCTCTCTCGCATTTAATGAACGTCTCTCAAGTTTTATGAGTGGCTGCATCAGTCGTGACTCAATGTACGAATCAGCAACTAACCGAGGCCGACCCAAAGTGAGCTCGTGCGCACATGTGGCAACTGTTGATAGTGGACCCATGCCGTATAATCGCCGACCATGCATGGCAATGGGATGCTCGAAATGCCAGGCACAGTGAGCTATGAAAAAGTTTGTCAAATTAATTCATTTGCATGCGAATTATGTTCCTAATTAATGCAACAGAATGTGGCACCTTCACCCCCCTCCACTTAGTGCCTGTTCGTTGAATCTGAAATCGAGTATTATGAAATTCAAGTAACCTGCGTATTCCTAACTAATTAGTTGCGACCGTCTGGCAGTTGATTACAGAGAAAAAGTAACTGAATCCATTTGCTATTGAAAAACAATTTCATTAATTGAATAAATATATATGTAAGTATATATACATATGTATCTCTCTCCTCGCTGCCATGAGCAGGAGTAAGCCAAGCATTTCTGAATTTAGCGCTTTTCTCGGAAAGCACAAGATATCCGCAATTCAGAGAAATTTGATTTAGCGGCGCCGTGCGACTGTAACGAAACTCTGGGCGACTTCCTCTGGGCTGTTGTCGATTAGGGCCAGGCGAAATTGTATGCAAATGATTATGTAGCTTATCATGCCAAAGATAAACTGTAATAGAAACGGAAATAGCGAAAGCGGCCTTGAAATTGATTTGGTTGGTAACTCGAGACACTCACCTTGCCCAGAGACTCATTATTGATTACCATCAGGCCGCCAGCACTGAACCTGAAGGACTCCTGGCCCAGCTGCGCCGAGAGGCGGTACAGCGCTGTATTCAGCACCTCGCACCTCGTGCAGATGTAGCTGGGCAGAAAGGTCAGCAGCAGCTTGCAGGACTCCTCAGTTGCGCAATCTGCAAGCGGAAATGAGTTGGGACTGGCAGATGCCCTGGCAGTGCTCACCCACAGTATGTCGTGGAAATATCCACATGGTTGTAGTTGTTGACAAACATCCAGTAGGGCAGGACGGAGATGTCCACAAAGTACTTGAGCAGCACAACTATCAGGCTCACTGCGAAATTGCGTTCGATGAGCCGCACTGTGTTCCAGAGCAGCCCGTGCAGGTGCTGCAGCACGTAAAGGAGCTCCAGCGACAGGCGGCGCAGGGACCAGACCTCAAAGCGAGTCTTGTCCAGCTCCAGGATCAGCCTGCAGCTGACCTCGGTCAGCTCCATGTAGAAGACCAAGATAAGCACCGCGAACACAGAGAACTCGCTGAGGCGCAGCAGCAGGATGACTTCCGAGTAGAAGGCGTAGACGAGCAGCCGCGACATGTTGGTGGCCAGATTGTTGTAAATGGTCATCAGCAGCAGCGCTAGGCAGCAGGTCAGCAGTATCGAGTTGATGATCCGGCAGTAGCGATGCACTCGCAGCATGTTCACCTTCTGGCCGAACTGCACGCGTAGCACGTAGCGCACTCGCTCCAGCTGCTGCTCGATCTGCTCGCTGCGATCCTGCCAGATCAGCTCCATGGCCACGACAAGGTGGGCGGCTGTCAGCGTGACAAAGTTCAGCAGGTCGACAGCACGCGAGAAATTATCGTTCCGATTGTAGACGACGCCGTAGTTGAAGCTAAATCGCCAGTGCAGCACGAAGGCCAGGTAGCTCAGCAAACTAACGGTGTAGAGCAGCCTCAGCTGCAGCAGCGGGTGGGGCGGCAGCAGCAACAGCCAGCGCTTCAAGCGGTTTATGCAGCGCAGCGAGGCTGCGTGCAGCTCGCCAGGCACGTGCCACATGACTAAAGTCCCCCAAAAGCGCAAAGCCCCCCCTTCATAATGTTGCATACTCGCCGAGATCCACAATCAGCTACTAATTGGCTAATTGAAAGTTAATGCGCTCAACTGTCCTTCAGCGCACACAATGAGCAACGTTATCTGGTCGAGTTTTTACGTACATATACTTTGGCTAATATGCATATTAATGTATACATATGTGCCAAGGGGAATTCCAGGAAATAAACAGTAAAAGTCTCTGTTGCATACAGGATATCGTACATTCCCATCAGCGTACATACTTATACATATGTTATACTGTTTGCAAGAAAAGGAAAAAGTTTCGCTAGAATTCCATTTTATATCTTGGCTTTAACAGCTTACATGCTT